GGTGTCCGCCCTTTTCCGCTGGCCATGCAGCATTTCTATTCGTTTGTCTCCCATGTCTGTCACTGCTGGTGTCCGCTAGCCATGTAGCATTTCTATTCATTTGTCTCCCAGGTCTGTCGCTGCTTGCGTCCGCCCTTTTCCGCTGGCCATGCAGCATTTCTATTCATTCCCCAAGCAGTTTACTGTTTGGTGTCCTATTCATTTGTCTCCCAGGTCTGTCACTGCTCGTGTCCGCCCTTTTCCGCTGGCCATGTAGCATTTCTATTCATTTGTCTCCCAGTCTCCCAGGCCTGTCCCTGCTGGTGTCTGCCGGTTTCCGCTCGCCATGTAGCATTTCACTGCTGGTGTCCGCCCTTTTCCGCTGGCGATGCAACATTTCTATTCATTTGTCTCCAGGTCTGTCACTCCTGGTGTCCGCCCTTTTCCGCTGGCCATGTAGCATTTCTTTTCATTTGTTTCCCAGGTCTGTCAGTTCTGGTATCCGCCCTTTTCCGCCGGCCATGTAGCATTTCTATTCATTTGTCTCCCAGGTCTGTCGCTGCTGGTGTCCGCCCCTTTCCGCTGGCCATGTAGCATTTCTGTTCATTTGTATCGCAGGTCTGTCCTGCTGGTGTCCGCCCTTTTCTGCTGAACATGCATTTGTCTCCCAGGTCTGTCAGTGCTGGTGTCCGCCCTTTTTCTGCTGGGGATGCAACATTTCTACTCATTTGTCTCCCAGGTCTGTCATTGGTGGTGTCCGCCCTGGCCATGTAGCATTTCTATTCATCTGTCTCGCAGGTCTGTCACTGCTGGCGTCCGCCCTTTTCCGCTGGCCCATGTAGCATCTCTATTCATTTGTCTCCCAGGTCTGTCGCTGCTGGTGTCCGCCCTTTTCCATTGGCCATGTAGCATTTCTGTTCATTTGTCTCCGAGATGTGTCACTGCTGGTGTCCGCCCTTTTCCGCTGGCGATGCAACATTTCTATTCACTCCCCAAGCAGTTTGCCGTTACGTAGGGTTTCTCACTTCTTTCTTAAGGTATGTGTCCGCCCTTTCTGTCACTGCTGGTGTCCGCCCATTTCTGCTGGCCATGCGGCACCCAATTCGTTTGTCTTTAAAATGCTTTCTTTACTTTTGTCTCCCAGGTTCGGTGCCTGCGCTGCTGGTGTCCGCCCTTTTCCGCTGGCCATGCAGCATTTCTATTAATTTGTTTCCCATGCGGTTTGTTTACTTTTGTTTTCCCGGTGCCTGCACTGCTGGCATCCGCCCTTTTCCCCTTCTTTCCAGCATTTCTATTCATGTGTCTCCCAGGTGATTTCTGTACTTCCCCAAACAGGCTACTAGGGGTTCTAAATGCTTTCCAAGAGTGTCCGCCTTGCTGCGGACAGCTTGTCTCCCTTGGTCTCCCTTCTTGTTGGTCACTGTGTCCTCACTGTGTCCGCCTGGTCTCCCTTCTGTTTCCTTTTGTCTCCCTTCTTGTCTCCCTTCTTGTTGGTCACTGTGTCCGCCTTGTCTCCCTTCATTCTTTCTTTGTCTCTGGTCTTGTCTCCCTTCTTGTGGGCCATTGTGTCCGTCTTGTCTCCCTTCTGTTTCTTTTGTCTCTCTTCTTGTCTCCCTTCCTGTTCATCATTGTGTCCGTCTTGTCTCCCTTCTGTTATCTTTTGTCTTGTCTCCTTTTTGTCTCCCTCTTGTTGGTCATTGTGTCCGCCTCGTCGCCTTCTTGTGGGTCACTGTGTCCACCTTGTCTCCCTTCTTGTTTCCCTTTTTGTTGGTCATTGTGTCCGTCTGCCTTCTTGTCTCCCTTCATTGTGTCCGCATGTCTCCCT